TTTAAAGCTTCCAAAGTGTGTTCCGTCCTTGTGCTCATGGGAGAATGGGAAAAGATATGGACGAGAAAAGGACCATTCTTTCATCTGATCCACATGACAACTCCATGAGATAGGCATACTTAGTCCTATTTTACAGGCAGGGAGACCGAGGCCTAATGGAACAACTTTTTCAAGATCCTCTTCTAGAAAATAATGCGCTTGGGATTTGAACCCACACCCACATGTCTCCAGAGTCTGAGGTTTTCCATGATATTGCATTTGGCTTACATAGCATTATGAAGTAACAGTACTGTCTTTTTTTTTTTTTTTTCACCTGTTCTTTATAACCAGTGGAAAGCTAGTGCCCTTCTTGGCACTATTCAGTACACTGCCTTCCCAAAGCAAAGATGATTTTTTTCAGGGATTTTATATTTGAAAGTGATTCTATAAGGAGCAGAAGTTCACTGAGGTTGCCTCAAATAACCAATATTTTAGTGTAAGGCCAAGCAGTGACCTTTCCCCAGTTCTTCTCTCATTGACTTTCCTGGTCTCTACTGATGTTCTTGCTCTGGCTTCTCTTGTTCCTATTGCCACCACCAGGGCTGCAAGTGCCACAGCCTGGTAGACCAGCAAGCTGGGAAAAGCAGGATCTACATCTCCCACTAGGCAGGCTCCACACTGCAGTTCTTGGTGCTACAGCCTCAGCAAGACCACTGATGAAATTCTCCTTATCTTTGTGCAATTTCTTTCTCCTCCCTTTCCCCAATTATATGGCTGCCTTTGTCTGATTGCACCAGTGTCCAAAGCTGGTGCATACTTGTTCCACCCTCATTTTGGTGTTTGGTTCCCTTTTAACGTGTGTTTTTCTGACAGCCTGCCAGTGAGTCACTCTTCATCTAGTAGCCAGACATAATGTTCTTGTGTGCCCTTGATTGATTTGTTTTCATTTCTCCAAACCTGGGAGAATAGAACAAAAATAGCCTGTGTCTTTTATAGATTGGATGCGGGAATCAAAAGGATTGTGGACAGAAATGTATTATCTTAAAACTCTACAGTGACTCCCTGTATGAGTTTTCTGTTTCCTGTGTAAAAAATTACCACAAACTTAGCAGCTTATAACAGCACAAATGTATTCTTACAGTTCTGGAGGTCAGAAGTACAAAATGAGTCTTAAGGGGTTAAATCAAGGCGTCAGAAAGGCTGGTTCCTTCTGGAGGCTCCAGGGGAGAATTTATTCCTTAAGTCTTTGCCTTTTAGAGGAGCGTTCCTTGGTTCCCAGCCTCATCACTCCAGTCTTTGCTTTTGTAGTCACATTTTCTCCTCCGCTCTTATAAGGACACTTGTGATTACCTTTAGGACTCAGCCAGAGAGCCCAGGATAGTCTCCCCATCTCAAAATCCTTAACTTAATCACATTGGCAAAGTCCCTTTTGCCGTATGAGATAACATTGACAGGTTCCAAGCATTAGATTGTGGCCTTTACGGGGGCTATTATTCAACCTAGCACAATCCACTCTCTGGCCTCCAGAGATTCACATCTATTCTATATACATTACCCCATTCCAACACCCCCAAAAGTCCCAACCCACTCTAGCATAAACCTGAAGTCCAAAATCTCATCGTCTAAATCATCTAAATTAGGTATGGGTAAGACTCTGCGTATGATTCAACCTGGGGCAAAATTCCATCTGTGGACCTATAAAACAAGTTACCTGCCCCCAAAATACAATGATAGGACAGGCATAGGATAACAGTTATACACATTCCTATTTCAAAAGAGAAAAAAATGGAAGGAAGTAAGGAGTCGCCAGTCCTAATCAAATTCAATATCCAGCCAGGAAAATTCCATTAGTTTTCAATGCCTGGGAATAACGTGTGGCTCAGGTTCCCAGCCTCTGTGCCCATAGCTCTGCCCTCTGGACCAAGGCTCTTCCCTCAGAGTCGTTTTTCTGTTTTCTTGAAGGGTAGGACATATTTGTAGTGGACTAGTTTTTTTTTTTAACTTTATTTAATTTACTTTTTTTCTGTTTTTTTCTCCCCAAATCCCCCCAATACATAGTTGTATATTTTTCAGTTGTGGGTTCTTCTAGTTGTGGCATGTGGGACACCGCCTCAACATGGCCTGATGAGTGGTGCCATGTTCACGCCCAGGATCCAAACCAGCGAAACTCTGGGCCACCAAAGCAGAGCACATGAACTTAGCCCCTCGGCCACGGGGCCGGCCCCTGTAGTGGACTAGTTTTATCAGCCTATTTTCTACCTGTAGAATTTTGAGAGTCCAACAGCCTTCTTTCATTTCATCTTGTCTCTGTCCCTTTCAATCCAAGCTGGCTGGCAATGTTTCTACCAATGTAACATTCTGAAAACTTTTGTGTATTACCCATGTATGTCACAGGGATTCATTCCATTAGACAAGAGAGTCCACCAAAGATCTTTTCTGGATAATCTCATTTCTATTCCTGTCTTCTGCTGAGATTGCTGAGGGGATCCATGAGTGACACAGCTAATCTCTTTAGCACTAGCAAAGGATTGTCCATTCCCACCTTTGGCCTTTTGTTCAGAACATACTATCCTGGCAGTGAATATCCTAATTTTAGTAATCTGAATAAGATGAGAGTCCTTGAGGGCAAGGGTGAAATAATCTCCCAGGGACTTCCAGCTCTCTGCACACATGAGTGAAGCAGCTCCAGTAGCCTAAGAGCAGGCTTCTAAGAAATTGTAGGTGTGAGCTGCTAGGAGCAAAACATGCAGAGACTGGGGGATGTGCACACCAAATGGTTAGGGGAATCCAGGGAGACCTGAATGAGACCAACAGCATCAGCCTCACATTACAAAGTGATACCAGAGAATTGGTATGATGGCTTATAGAAGTATGATGCAATGATGATGCATTCTCTTGGCAGAAATATTCTCTTTTCTAACTTTTAGCCAAAATGGTGCTGTTTCATACTGTCTCCTTGCTCTGGAATTTTCTTAGAGATTAGAGATCTTTAAATATTGGAAGATAACAAGTCCTAACCACAATATTCCATTACTCCTGTCTCCTCCATGCATCTTTGCAGTCCTGGTAGTTGTCATGGTCATAATCATCTCTTAACATATACTCATCATCTTCCTCTAACAGGCCTGTAAATTGCTCTGATAGAGGAATGAGGCCACTGAGTACAGTCTAACAAGACAATGTGATTGTTAGGAAGTTATGACACTGGACATCTTCTCTGCCCTGAGCAGCTGCCATCCGCTTAACCCATCCATCAACTAGGGAAGTGATTCTGACAGGTCACCTTTCATAATGGCTCCACTTCTATTTATAGAACCAGCTGATTATATTGTACATGATCTTTATTACCTGAGTGAATTCACAATGTCTCTGCAGCCTGCTGTTTATCCCAAAAGTGATAAGTGGCATGCTTTTTCAAACCCCTCATCTTCTGAAGGGTATCTGAAGGGCAGCATCCAAGCACTGGTTATCGTCTTCTGTGACATTCACTATGAGCACACGAGGTGTGGACCTGGCCTGGCTCCAGGGTAGTAGTGTCCCTCAGTCAGACTCAGACTCTGCCTTCAAGGAACTCACACATTGCTATGGACTGAATTATGTCTCCCCAAAATGCATATGTTGAAGCCTTGGCCCCAATGTGATTGTATTTGGAGATAGGACTTTTAGGAAGTAATTAAGGTCAAATGAGGTCATAAAGGTAGGGGTCCTAATCTGACAAGATTGGTGGCCTTATCAGAAGAAGAAGAGAGAGCAATCTCTCTCTCTCTTTCCATGTGCACACATTGAAGAAAGGCCATGTGAGGACACAGCAAGAAGGTGGTCATCTGCAAGCCAGGAAGAGAGCCCTCACCAAAAAACCAACCCTACTGACCTTGATCTGGGAGCTCTATCCTCTAGAATTGTGAGAAAATAAATTTCTGCTGTTTAAGCCACTCAGTCTGTGGTATTTTGTTATGGTAGCATGGCAGACTAAGTCGTACATATAAAATAAAGAAATACATCAGCACAGAAAGTGAGAACCCCACCCCCAGCCCTGGGTACCACACAGATTCGTGCACCCTTTGTATTGTGACTGCCTTATTGCTAGTTTTTTCTTAAAACCCTGAGTGAGATACTTGTTTCCTATATTTAGAATGTTCATTTTGTCCTATGGCTTTCCTACAGCATTTAGCAGGACTCTTTTCCATTTGGATCTGCTACATTCCAACCCTAAAACTGCACACTTTGACAAGTATGCCAGGTCAGCCCAGCAGCCATTTCCCTGGAGGGTCATTCACTCACCCAGATCAGAACCTGTGACTCTGAAGCCAGTTCACCTCCAGCCACCCCAAGAAGGTGGCAGAAAGAGTATTTGGCTTGTGCACAGGCTCAGTGCTGAAGGACAACGCAGTTATGTTGGGGACCACTGAGCTTTGGGAAGGCTAGCCCCTCATCTCTCAGGGAACAGCAGCTGAGTTCAGTGTTGCATTCCCTCCTGGGTGTCGTGTCCTCACTTTGAAACAGAGTTGGCTGGGTCTTGTGCCTGCACAGTAATTAAGGTTAATGAGCGCACTCCATCTGGAGAGCAGAAAGGCAAATCTGTTCTTTGAGTTCACATTCTTGGCACTCATCCCAGCTGGAAGGATCCAGAAAACACTGATAATCTTCCCCTGTGGGATGTTGCCAGGTTATAGGGCCCGATCCTGGCCCCAGACAAGACAGGGGAGGGTCACAAGGCAATCTCTCTGAGATCTGACATCTACAATCTGTGCAGGGCATCTGATATTAACTTAAGGCAGATTTTGGGCCTAGGATTTCAGAGTCAGTGTTTGAGAAGCCAGACTGAGTCCTGCTGTGAAATGCAGGGGCATGAAACTCTAGCATATACATCCTTCCCTGAGAGTCATCAATAACAATGTGGAATCAGTGCCACAGGGTCCAAGGCATGGCCTGGCCGGGTCAGAAATGTGTATTTGCTCCAAGTTCAGCTGTGCCGTTGCTCTGAGACTCTAAGAAAACCCCTTCTTCTCCTTATATTCCAGACTCTTCACCTATTAAATGGAGAGCGGTGGACTAGATCCGTGTTTCAAAGTATGATCCAAGGAGCCCAAGAAGGTCTCTGGATGCCCAGAGTGGAAAATGCACAGCACACCCAAGATGGTCTTACTGCTGGATAGGGTGAGAGGAAATGGTTCTGTATGTTAGCAGTTACAATAGAAGGAGATATTTCTGAAAAAAGAAAAGACAAAGCAAATATGATTGGGTAATAGTTACAGATTCTGCACAATGGCAATTGGCACTTGTTATTTCATTGTTTATACTTCTCTAGGTCTTAAATTTCTCAAACAATTAAAGCAGGAGCTGGTCTTGACCTAGCTGTGAGTAGGGCACTAACCTCCTACCCTCAACACATGCATATGTACATATTGAAATTTAAAGTTTCTTTTTATTTTACATAAATTATATCATATTTGAGGTATTGTTCCTCAACTTACTTTTTCACTTAACAAAATTTCTTAGACCTCGTGTGTGTGTGTCTTTTTAACTGCCTCAGGGTATCCCATGTCACAGACACACCATGGCTGTTTTAACCATTCCTTTATTGACAGATATTTCACTTGCTCCCAGTTTTTCTCTGTTACAACAATACTTCAGTGAACATCTTTCAAAATCCCAGAGCTGAGAAGCAACAAAACTTTGACAAAACATGTATTTCCTAATCCCCAGGCCTGGGCTTCCACATAATTGTTAGCGGTTATTAGAAAATGACTGATGTTCTTAAGTTTCATTCTTTTGCATTCTACAGCATAGAATCAAATATCAGTTGATGGGTAATGCTGAATAGATTCCCCTACGCAGTTTTCAGTTGTCTCAAGGCATTGAGGAGAAAAACTAGACTTCAAGACATGTCAAGAGGAATAGCCCAAGTAAATATCCCAGGTTCTCAACTCGGAACCCTGGAGGGCAACACAGTACAAGTGTTGTCAAACCAGAGGTAGTTACTAGCCTTGTTTACAAGAAGTGAACCCCCCTTCAAGTAAGTTCAGCTCCATATTGGATTAAGGTGATCTGCCTGAATTCTAGCTGCTTACCAGAGCATGTGATAAATGCTCTCTAGCAAAGGATAGCATCATCCAGAGCCACTACAATTGTTCTCATCAATGCTCGGCATCCCAGTGAAATTTTATCAGATATATCAAGAAGTTGAACCAAAAGAAAAAGTAAAACAATAGAAGTAGACCCACAGATGACCCAGATATTGGCATTATCAAACATAGTCTTTAAAAAAATGTGGTTAATATGTTCAAGAAAATAAGTAACAAGGTGAAAAATTTCACTAGAGAGCTGGAAATTTTGTTAAAGGATCAAATGGAAATTCTAAGACTGGAAAGTAAAACTGAAGTGAAAATTCAAATAGATAGATTTAACAGCTGATTAGACACAGCAGAAGAGAAGATTAATGAACTGAAAGTTTAGTAGAAAATATTCGGACTAAAGTATAAAAAGAAAAAATACAGAAATAAAGCATCACCAACAAAATCTGAAATAGTGAAAAGGTCTATATCTACTTGGAGAATCAGAAAGGGAAGTGAGAGAGAATGGGACAGATGGATATTTGAAGGAGGAAAGAGCCAAGAATTTTCAAAAACTCACGAGATATGAAGTGAGATTCAAGAAGTGATACAAACACTAAGTAGAAAAATACAGGAAAAAACATACCTAAGCACCTCCACAGTAAACTGTGGAAAACCAACGACACAGAGAATCTTTAAAGCAGGCAGAGAAAAGGGCACATTACCTCCAACAGTTAGACCTAAGGGAATATTATTCCCATGAGCCTTCCTGAAAGATGCACTAGAGAACAATCTACAGCCAAAGAAGAGGTGACAGGAGAAACCTCAGCAAAAGGGCTCGTGGTGAGCATTAAATATATTTAACTGCGAGATTAAAACTAAGGCGGACATAAGAGGAACAACATTATGTGAACATTACACACTCTAACTACGTAGAAATAATAGAACTAACTGAAAATGGGAGAAGAATGGAGAAAAAAGGTGTAAATTAGAATAAGCTCCCTAATTTCTTAATACATAACAGCTGGGAATAAAATAGATATTTAAAGTTGACAACTTAAATTATAGAAACTTAAGCAATTTAGAAGAACAAAGGTAAATAATAAGAAAACTAATACTAGTGACTAAAATTAGGTGATGGAAGAGAAAAAGAAGAATAGGAGTAGGAATCAGGGATAAAGGAAAAATCATGAATAAAATAATAAAGATCAAACAAACAAATAAAATGAATATATTTATCTCAATTCTCCTTCCAAAGTCAAAAAGGAGAACAAAAATCCAATAGAAAAATGGAGAAAAGGTATAAACAGAGCACTCACAAAACAGGAAATACAAATGGATCTTCAGCATATGCAAAGATGTTTAACCTCATTCACTAAGAGAAACGAAAATTAAAAATACCCTGAAATTTACAAAGGCGTATGCACATATCAGATCCCAAGAATGATACACTTCAGATTTGTACATTTCACTATAGGTAAGTTTTATCTTTCAAAAAATGATAAGGAAATGTTGAATTTTAATTAATAATATGCAAGCTAAAGTGCTTTGAATTGAAGTGTGCTAATATCCACATCTTTCTGTGAAATAGATCCCCAAAATAAGAAGGATAGATAGATAGATAAATAGGAAATAAAACAAATATAACAAAATGTTAACAACTGCAGAATCTAGGTGGTGAATTAATGCATGCTCACTGTACAATTCTTTCAACTTTTTAGTATGTTTGAAAATTTTCATAATAAAAAGTTAAGGAAAAAATACCTCTAGGTAACATAGTCTTTCAATTTGGCAAAAATAAAAAAACTTGATAACTCTGTTTTCCAGGTTGTAGGACAACAGTCCCTCTCAACCTTTGCTGGTCGAGGCTTACTTGGGTTCACCTTCTAGAGAGAATAATTCCAATCAGAAGTAAAATGGATATGTCCTTACAGACAGCAATTCCACTAAAGACACTTAATCTTCAGACATGCAAAATGACATAGCAACAAGGATATTTTTTCCATGATTGTACGATAAACAAAAGATTAGAAATCATCTCAATGTCTAATTTATAAAAGAATGAGAGAGGCCGATCCCGTGGTTGAGTGGTTAAGTTCCACGTGCTCTGCTTTGGTGACCTGGGTTTGCAGGTTCGGATTCTGGGTGTGGGCCTACCCCATTCATCAGCCACGCTGTGGAGGCATCCCACATGCAAAGTAGAGGAAGATTGGCGCAGATGTTAGCTCAGGGCGAATCTTCCTCACACACACACACACACACACACACACACACACACACACACAAAGAATGGTAAAAGATACTATCGTATGGCCATACAATGAAATACAATATAGGTATTAAGAAGAAAGAAGCAACTTTCTATGTACTGATATGCAGTAATCTCCAAGCTATATTAAGTGAAAAAAAGTAAGGCATGGAAAGTTTGTATAACAGGCTTGCATTTGTGTAAAAAACAAATACATAAACATCCATGTTTTCTTGTATATGCATAGACTACCTCCAGATTATGTATGGATGAGGACCTCATAACAGTAGTTTTCTCTTGGGAGATGACTTGGATCACTGGGGATAGAGGTAGTTAGAAAACTGCTTTTCACTGTTTGCTTTTTGTACTTTTTGAATTTTGAACTGTGTATAAATATTATTTATACAAAATGTTACATATAATCCTCAAAAATTTAAAAATAGAATTACCATATGATCCAGCAATTCTGCTTCTGGATATGTACCCAAAAGAATTGAAACAGGGCTTCAAAGAGATACTTGTACACCCACGTTCATAGCGACATTATTCACAATAGCCAAAAGACAGATATAACCCAAATGTCCATCGATGTATGAATGGAGGAACAAAATGCGGAACATTCATACAATGCAATATTTATTCAGTCCTAAAAAGAATGGAAATTCTGGCACAGGCTACAACATGGATGAACCTTGAGGACATTATGCTAAGTGAACTAAGCCAGTCACAAAAAGACAAATGGTGCATGATTCCACTTATATGAGGCATCTAGAGTAGTCAAATTCATAGAGACAGAAAGTAGAATAGCGCTTACCAGGGGCAGAGGGGAGGAGGAATGGGGGGCTGTTGTTTAATGGGCACAGAGTTTCAGTTTTGCAAGATGAAAAGAGTTCTGGAGACGGATGGTGGTGATGGTTGCATGACAAAGTGAATATCCTTCATGCCGCTCAACTGTTTACTTTAAAATGGATACTATGGTAAATTTTATGTAATGTGTATTTTACCACAATTTTAAAAAAAAATTATATTTTTTAAAAGAGAGAAAGAAAGACAAAAACAGCATTAGAACAAAGTGTTGTGGCTTCTACAACCATGCCCAGGAAGGAGCTGCCAGGCGAGTCCTTCCTGCCGGCAGAGATCACGTCTGGGCCTGGGCTTCTCAGGAAGTAACTAGCCTTCTTCTGTCCTGCTCTGTTTCAGCTGCTGCCAGTACAGGTGTCTGCTCTCTGAGTGAAAGCCCACTGCTCTCATTGGCTCCCAGCTGATGTCTGGCTACCCCTCTCTCTCCTACAGCAGCCCCAACCAGAGTGCCAGCCCACCCAGTGGCCTTTATGAAGTGGTGACCACTCCCACCAGCAGGTCAGTGCCCTCTGGGAAGGGGTGAGGAGGGAGACAAGTCTGAATGAGGGGAAAGCATGGTCGCTTGTGGTTACATATATGCCAGGACCAGCTGGCCCAGAGCTTGCACAGGTTTCTTCCTGAAGCTCTGGAGGGGTTGGGGGAGAGGGATCTCCACTTTGCCTTCCACCAGAGCAGGGAGAAGCATACAAAAGTCTAGGGTTTAGGATGTGGGATCTTGGGTTAAGTCATTTCCCTTTTCCATGCCTCAGTTTCCACATTTATAAAATGAACATTACGAGACCTGCTAACTTGCTTCCAGGGCAGTCGTGAGGATCAAACAATAAGCTGGATGTGAAAGTACAATGTACAGCTCAAGTGCTCCGAAAGTTCAGGGATGATGATGATGATTGCTATATGTGGGGAGAGAGAGCAGCAGTGTCCCCTCATCCTAAAGCCCTCTCTGGCAGCTGGGCTGGCAAGGACTGACCTGCCTTCCTGGTCTGCTCCAGGGAGCTCCAGTTTCATTCAAAGTATTTACTGACCACCTTCCGGGGGAGGGACTGTGCTGAATTGCGCGGAATCTTCACACACCTGTGACTCAGGTATTATCACCTGCCCTCAGTAGAGAGGAAGTCAGTAAATAGCCCCAAGATGAATGAGTGATGTGTTGGTGTAGACATGGCTGACAGAGTCCCAACAATAATCTTAAATTGCCCAGGGCTGCACTGCCAGGCAGTGGCAGAGCTGGGATTGGGGTCATCTGACCGCCATGACTGTCCTTCCCACCATACCTGCAGTTTTCAAACCATGTTGCAGGGGCTCAGCAGAAGTTCCTAGGGAGTCCCATGAGACCCCCTCAGGGGGGAAGGGATGCAGATTCTCCGTGCTTCCCACCCAGATTGGGGACAGTAACTCCTTTTCAATATACTCATATACTGGTGTTCAACAATCGGTTTCATCTGAAATCTAGGTTCCATTGCTTTAAAAAGTATATTAATTACCTAATGTTTTTGTGCTTTCCGATCACCCTCAGTCGGTGGCTTGGCAGCGTTGAAAGCATTGTTATAACTTTCCTCCTAAAGGATTGCAGGCGGTGGAGGCAACGGCAGGGGCTCCAGCCCCAAGAGCCCTTGCCCTTCCCCCGCCACCCTTAAGGCCCTACCCCTGCAGGGACTCCCCTGTCACCTCCCTTTTCCCACCCTGGGAGGCACAGTCTGGGGCTTGCTAGAGACCTCGGTTATCTACAAAGTTCAGGGCTGAGACATGTGGGCCCCTGGATCGGGTGTATGTGTCTCTTTCCCTTCCTTAACCCGATGTGGGGTGGCCGGAGCACTGACTTCTCGCTCCAGGAGGGGCAGATAAGGAAGAAGGGCTGATGCCCTGCCCCCAACCCAGGCAAGTGGACATGACCCCCCCTGCCCACTGCCGCGGCTCTCTGCAGGGGTGGAAAATGGTACCAGTCAACCACGAGCCGGAGGAAGAGCCCGCAGTAGCTGCCGCAAGATGGAGGAGCCTACCCCCGAGCCCGTCTATGTCGATGTGGACAAAGGACTGACCTTGGCCTGCTTCGTCTTCCTCTGCCTCTTCCTCGTCGTGATGATCATTCGCTGTGCCAAGGTCATCATGGACCCTTACAGCGCCATCCCCACATCCACCTGGGAGGAGCAGCACCTGGATGACTGAGATGGTGGGGACAGCAGGGCGGGGACCCTGGCGCTCTCTGGGAAGGGGAGGTCCAGGATGCACCTCTGTGTCCCTGGCCACCAGCCTGCCAGCCCATAGAGGCAAGAAATGGATTTGGCCACAGGGGATGCAGAAGGGTCACCTTAGTTTTGCCTGCTATTACAGGAGCACCAGCGTGAAATGTTTGGGGTGCTGTGGGTGTTGCAACCTGGGCAGCCTGGGGCAGACTGGGAATAAGAGCATTGGACCAGGAGTCAGGAGGCCTGGGTTCCAGTCTGGGGAATCACTGTGAGACTATGGGGTGGTCACCTTCCCTGGCTCCTATGCACCTTTTGGAATTGGATCCAGGACAGACATCCACTGTCACACAACAGTGGTCTTGTTTTGAGGAGACTGCCCTTAAAATGCAACGTAGCACATGCACTAGCCTTGGAGGCTCCTAGCACAGTTGTCCCACCTGAGCCCAGCCCCCTCCCAATGGGCTAGCAATAGACCTGGTGGTGAAGCATGAAAGGGGACATCTGGTGCCTCACCCGAAAATTCACAAACAACACAGGGGCTGCTTCCAGCAGTGTTTTTTTTTTCAACTAAAATATAAAGGGGTATATTTTTCCTGTTATAAATGAAATGTACATTTTAGAAATTTGAGAAATACAGAAAAATAGAAGGAAAGGGGGAAAATAACACTTATAATTCCACCTCCTAGAAGCCACCATTTTGATATATTTTCTCCCAGCCTTTTTTACACATATTTTTTAAACAGTCAAATTCATAGTGTATGCACGATGTTGTATCACTTCATATTACAGCATGAATAGTTTCCCATTTCATCAAACACTCTTCATAGCCATCATTTTTAGTGGCTGCAGAGTATTCTATCAGGTGAATAGGTCATAGTTTAAAAATCATCTTCTTTGGTCATACCTTTAATTTTTTTGCTAACTTTTCCTCATACAAAACTATTTCACCCAGTAACTTCTTGAGAGTGCACAGTCTATGAGATGAATAGTGGACAGGAAGACCTGGGTTCTAGTCCTGTCAGTTACTCAAAAGCTGTGTGACCCTGAGCAAGTCACTTCACCTCTCAGTGCCTCAGTCCCTCATTTTATAATGGGGAGGAAAAGGCTTGCCCTTTTTGCTTTGTTTAAACCTCATGTGGGTGAAAGGACAGGAGGGGGAGTGCTTTGAAGGTCAATGTACTGTGGGTAGGGGGGCCAAGGAAGAAGTTGTTGATAATGACTCTTCTTGGGGCCTCCCTCCTCTCTCTTCTTCCTACCCTTCTACCCCGCTCCTACTTCATCACCTACATCTATGACCTTGCAGCAAGAATATTGAACCTGATCCCAAGTCCCAATTCCTCTACTCCCATGTTATATGACCCCAAATAAACCACTTAGCCTCTCTGAGCCCCAATTTCCTCATCTGTAAAATGAGGGAATAACATCTACCTCACAAGGTTGTTGTGAGGATGAAATGAGAGAACATGGGTAAACATTAGTGTCTTTTCTTGATTCTACCACCCCAGGAGAAGCCAGGGGTCTGAGCTGGGAGGAGCAGAGGTTCAGGGTTGCCCTCCATGCACAGCCTGAAACCCAGGGCTTTCCTTAACTTCCCAGGGTCGCTTCCTACAGGTCAAATCGCCCAACCAGGACCACTGGTCAGAGTAAAACTAACAGCAACCTCTCCCAGTACCTGACCTCAAGGGATATGGTGTCTATTAATTTATCTAATTGTCATTGTCATCAGTTTTCCCACAAACATGATATGAAGTTAAACTAGACCACTTGAACTCCCCTTCTTCTGAATGCATGTATTCTATTCCTCCAAGACATGGCCTGCCATCCCCATCAGAAGAGACCTGCAGCTGTGAAGAAGCTCAAGGCTCCCTTCTCATCACCTGCATCCCAGCCATGGGGCCCACTCCAACCCAGGCCACCTGGGAAATGTGTTTCCAAAGCACTGTCACCACTGGGTGACCCCTGAAAGTGAACAAGGCCACAGCTGTTCAGGCAGCATTCCAGGGAATATCCAGCTGTTTCCCCCCATTATGTGGGATGCACAAAGGGACAGCTGGCAAAGGCAGTGGACCAAGATGCATTGGAGGCTGTATGTAAGGGGAGGATCTAGAGCAAGGACCTTGTGCATTGCCTCGTGCCCAGCAGGAGCCTTCATTTTGCAGCCTACCTCAGAGATACCACACACTTCTGTGAAAATCCCATCAGCATGGATTTACAATGTAAATCGGAACCAAATCCCAATCAGTTAATACCAGATCCCAAGAGAAAAGGCAAGAGCTTGACGATCACTTGAAGATCTTGACACTTTAGAACTCTCAGGAGTAAACAACAGGGGACCCAAGGGCTGTGCTGCTCAAACTGTGACGAAGGACAAACAGCATCTGCCACACTGAGGAGCTTGTTAGAAATCCAGAATCATGGACTCCACTCCAGACCTGTGGGATCAGAATCTCTGGGATGGGCCCAGGAATCTGTTAGCAAGACCCACCAAGTGATTTGTATGCGCATTAAAGTTTGAGATGCACTGCCCTGGGGATCCCGTGGTCCCAATTAATTCTTTCCATCTCTAGATTTGCTAATATATCCCATCCTATCTCTTGACTCTTTTTCTGGTGACAAGGGGAAATAATATTTCAGAAAATTTAAAAATCACTCCCAATCCAAGCCTCCTGCAAAATAGAGATTTTCATTGTATGTCCATATGTTCCCTTCTAATGTTTGTCCACGTGCAAGATTTATTTTTTTCATAAACACTATCAGTTACATAATTTAAATCATACTCTCTCCTAACATTATATCATAAGCATGTTTCTGCTACCTTCTTCCTATTTATCACTTTAGTGGCTATAAAACATGCCATCTAGTGCATGTACATGATTATCCAGACTCCTATTTTTAAGTACTCAGATTGCTTTCATTTTTCCTATTTTATGTGTTCCAAAAGAAAAAAGAAAGCTAAAGACAGATATGATGAACCCTGAGGGCTTGCTCAGGACAGTGGAGAATAAATATTTAAATTACACCGCTTCCACCTAAGAAGCACACAAGGGAGAGAGACCTGTCTAAGCATTTGATAATATTCAGGGGAGAAAAACAACTGGAGTTTCCAGCTTTTGTTGTTGCTTTATGCTCCTAAAGAATGGAGGAGATGGTCCCTTGTGATCAGAACGCCTTAACCAGTTTCTGGCTAGTTGAGATGAAGTTTGAGGTTGCGGATGGAGAGATAAACTGTTTAGCAAAAGAAAGAAACAGAATTTTTGAGGACTGGAAGCTGGCAGAGAGGAAATGAAAAGTATTCAGAGAGAGAGAGGCCTGTGATGTTAGCCACAATCCAGGACTTAAGGGAAAATGTGACCAGAGAGAAACTTCCCACTGCCGGGAATGGGCAATGGATTTTCCAGACAGTGGTGTCTAGTAGCCACTTTTCAGTTTTGCTTGTTCTGTGCTCTGCTACAGTCCCTTCATGTTACTCCAAATCCTCAGTAAAGTCTCACACACAATCCACTTTGTAGCAGTGGTATTTGGGGACAATAAAGACATCTGGGAGGTGGGTAATGTGAAGGAGTGCCATCTGAGAAGGGCCAGCTGTCCCAGGGATAAGTGAGGTAGAAGAAATAGGCAGAAGTAGGAAATCAGAATGACAGTCACTAGGAGAAATGTGACCCCTAAGGATGCTCAGATAAGCTGATATGAGTAATAGGACACTAGTTTTACCACCCTTGTATATCATTTCCCATCATCTCTATTTCATTTTTTCCGAATAGTTGCTCAAATGTCTTATTTCTTTGTTCTTATCAAATTGAAAGACCGGTACTCCTTAGCTTATAAAATTGTCCCAGAATTCCAGAGGCTGACTTAATCCAAAAGGGGCTGGTGTTGCTTCCAAACACCAAGTGGAGAAAATTGCAAAGCCTAGTGTGGGGGCTGGCCCAGTGGCACAGCGGTTAAGTGCGCACATTCTGCTTCTCTGCGGCCTGGGGTTCGCTGGTTCGGATCCTGGGTGTGGACATGGCACTGCTTGGCAAAAGCCATGCTGTGGTAGGCGTCCCACGTATAAAGTAGAGGAAGATGGGCATGGATGTTAGCTCAGGGCCAGTCTTCCTCAGCAAAAAGATGAGGATTGGCAGTACTTAGCTCAGGGCTAATCTTCCTCAAAAAAAAAGCCTAGTGTGTCCACTAGTGTGGTAGTGTGGTTTCATGCCCCGTGATCTCACCATTGAAGACTGGTCCTGCCATGTATGGTGAAAGACAATCTGTAGTGCCCTTTTTGGGCTATTGCTCAGTCTGCTGAGAGGTGCTCGAGCTGAGCTCCCAGGGTCCACATTCACATGCCCAGTTCTTCTGTCCAAACATAGCACAAAGACAGGTGGACTGTGTCCAGAGGGGCAGACAGCCTCAGTCACACCCGCCCTCCCCCTGAACCCTTATGTCCTTGATGATCATCAGCTAAGACTCTTCCTCCCTCCTGGGGAGTTTCTCTTTGGGACCTGTATCAGTCAGCATCCTCGCAGGGAAGAGATGGCACACCCAAAGAGTTAACTGAAGAAGATTACAGAGGTTGGGCAGAGTTAAGGGAAACAATAGGGGACAGGCCACAATGTGAAGCCATTACCACCTCGGCCTGAAGAGACAAAGAGAAGGAGGAGTGTCCCCAGAAGCCAGTGGGAGCTGTAGCAGTGGGAGAGGAGTCACTCAACAGGAGCCATGGCTGCAGGTAGATGATCAAAACTCTGCCAAACTGCAGCCCAGTAGGAACAGTGGGGGGAATAAATGCCTTGACCTCTCACCTCCTGCCCTCCAATCTCCTGTCTGGATCTCCTATTAGCGAAAAACAACAGAAGCTAAAGGACAGGGGACCCTGAGTGACATGGTCCATATATGTCAGCATACTGGAGCAAATGAAAAATAACCAGTATAGCCTACCCCTTTACCACGCAGCATCCATTCATGCATGAACTTTGCTTGGATGGGGAAAATATACGTCCCCAACCTAGAGACATGAAGTCCCATCAACCACTATATTGTCTGGGGTGATATCAGTTTAGTCCCTCTCCCCCCTGGAACCTACACTGTAATGTATCCACCTCTAGGTGAGTAAATAAAACAATTAATATAAAGCATAGCTGCTAGAGTCACCCTTCTCTGGCGACCATGAGGCCTAGGTTGATGACCACAGTGTTGCTCCTCCACCACCCATTCCATGTGCCCTCTACCTTCAACAGTCCCTCAGCTGTTGGAGTATTTCATCTAGTGAAATGACCCACATCTTCATTCAGAGAGGATCCAAATTCTTGGTGCCCTGTCTTTATTGGGTTGCCAGTTTCCACAGACTCCCAAAGAATACAAGGAGGCCTTAAAGGCCTCACCTGGAAGAATTTTAGAACCCTCAAGAGAGAATAGATACCCTAGGACAGAGTTACTCAAACTATGATCTGAGGGTGGATAGCATCAGCATCACTGGGGAGTTTGCTAGAAAACTAAATTCTAAATTCGCCCCCACCCCAGACCTACAGAATGGGGATATGGGATGAGGAGTAACAAGAGATTCCTCAGTAAATCCCTGGTTCACAAGCTAGTCCCCTTGCCCCCATTGTGTAGCAGTAACCACATTTCCCCTTGGATATGGGGACAAATCACTCTGACAGCACAGTGATCCTTTGCCTACTGGTTCAATATCAGGAGACCAAATTGGCCACGGGATGATCTCAGTTTCCAATTTAACAGACCCCTAACTATGTTCCCTGGTGGAAGCATTTTTTCTTTGTCACTAGGAATTTCCAAACCCACTAAGTCCAAGCTTACAAGGATGGAAAACAAAAATTCTCTAAGTGGGTTATTAGGTATAATAGTGAAAAGAATCACTCTCGCCTCCATCCCTTGGTTCCCAGACTAGGATCATCTGGCTGGGATCATACCTTGGCCTCTGGCTTAAGGTAAATACTGCATCCTGATGCAGCATAACTGATGCATGAGCCACCATAACTGAGCCTTCCACAGGCCATTTGAAATTTCAGTCCTGGCAACTGCTTCTGAGTGATGAGGCATATAGCAAACAGTGAATTTCATTGGCATGAACCCACTGCTGCACTTTCCTTACAAACGAGTTCTTTGGTTGAAGGTCATGTTTGTGAGATATGCTGAGATGATTGAAACACCACAAACAGTGGGGAGGGCAGGCATGGCAAATCCATATCCAGAATATGAGTCTATTCCCACTACCCTCCATGATGGAAGTGGTCCAATGTAATCAACCTGCCATGAAGTGGCTGGCCTATCTCCCACAATCCACCTCTGGGGAATGGTGCCATATCAGGGGATGAGCATTGGCTTCATCCATTGGCAGGCTGCATATCCAGAAGTGATGGAAACCAGATGAGCCTTAATGAGGGAAAGTTCATGTTGTTGAACCCATGTACAGCCTCCATCCTTTCCACTACGGTCACTTTGTTCATGATGCTATTAGGCAAGCACCAGAGTGGCTAGGGGAGGAGGCTGACATCTACAGGTTGGGTCATATTGTCCACCTGATTATTGAGAGCCTTCTCTGCAGCAGATGCCTTCTGATAGGCATTTAGTTGGCACATGAACATGTTTAGGACTCCTTCAAAGACGTCCTTCCACCAAGACTGCCTTGAATCCTCTCTTCCAATATTATACAGTTGGCTTAGCATTCTGATTCTCCTATTGCACATGGCTAGAAGCTCCATACAACATCCCTATCACACTTCCTGTATAATTGGGTCTGCTGGGCCTTAAGGCCCAAAGAGGAAGGTAGCTTTCATCACAGCCTGAACCTTTTCTAGAACCCTTTATTGCTCTGGACCCATTCAAACCCAGAGTTTTATGATGTACCCAGTAAATGCATCAGAGCCACACACACAAATGCACTATGCATTGCTCCAAAAATCCAAAGAGGCCCGTCATCCAGTGAGCCTCTTTCTTCACAGTGGATGATGCAAGGTAAAGCAACATATTTCTCTTCTTAGAGGGGATATCTCAACATGTCCCAGTCTGCTATAACCATCGAAACTTCACCAACATGGCAGGCTCCTGAATTTCCATAGAGGTTTTCTCTCACCCTCTGGCAATGACATGCCATCTCTGGTGCTTGATACTTCCCACTCACCAGAGCCAGTTAGCATAATATCATCAACAACAGAGAGTTGAAGAATTGGCAAATTCCTGAGGTAACGCAATTAAGGTATACAATTGTCTCCTGTCAGGTGAATGAAGGTGAACTCTTTTTGATTATCTTTATTGATTGGGATGCAATAGAAAGTATTTCCTAGTACAGTGGTTCTCAAACTTTAGTGTGCATCAGAATTACCTAGAAAGCTTGTTCTAACACAACTTCTGGGCCCTACTCCAAGAATTCTTAATTCAGTTGGTCTTATTGTCAGTTCTATAATTTGTCAGTTGGAATCCTATAATTTGTATTTCTAACAAATTTCAAAGTGATGCTGAAGTTGCTGATCCAGGGATCACACTTTGAGAACTGCTGTTCTAATAGGTCACAAGGGACCATACCAGGTACATTACAGGTGCCAGAGGCTGAGCTAATCTTCTCTAGTAAAGATACCACATCTACAGCAACTTCTGAGATGGGAATTAATTCTTGATTGTGTTTATAAAAATCTATAGTCATTCTCTAGGACCCACTGACTGTTGCAACAAGCAGGTAAGTTAAATGTTGATGAGATTAGAATCACCTGCCCTACATCTCTCAAGTCTGGCAGGAACACAGTTCCCCTGAAGATGCAGCATTGCTTTTGGTTTACTATTTTGGTACAAGGAGGCAGTTCCAGGGGCTTCCATGGGGCCCCTTCTACAATAATAGCCCTCACTTCATGGGTCATAAAACCAATGTGGTATTTCCACCAGTCATTAAGTTTGTATCTTTGCTGACTATACATTCCAGAACCAGAGAAATAACCACAGGATGGGATGGTGATCCTTTTGGAGATGCTCTCAGGCCACCTGACTCTTTTAAGCCCCCACTCTGACCAGCAGATTACAGTAGACTTTGGGAGACTAGCTTTAGTTCTGAGGTAGTTTCTAATAACTGTTGCAGGCCTGGGTATTTCTTTCTTCCCAGTACATGGCCACCCTGGTACATGGCCATTGGTCCCTCTGGGAAAGCTTGGAAGGATATTTACAATGTATTTACAGCCAGGTCACAGGGGCCTTCCTCAAAGGGACCTAGGTTCCCCAAAAATTGAAGGACCCAAGTTTGTAAATGGACTTAGACCTGGGAACAGAATTAGTGGTCATGAATTCTTACTAGGATGACTCAAGTCAAATTTTGGCCCACAGACCTAGAATTTTTCTTCTGATATAGGTCATGCATCTATTTCATTTCTAGGTATCTCGTGTCAATCGGCCATGCCCCAGATCCCAGTGGTTCAAAATATTCTTATTACCATTCTGCTCCTCCTGCTTTTATGGTTGTAGCACCCACCTTGTTTCTGATGGTTAGGCACCATCACTTAATCCCTTCCAGTCCATGGAACCCCATTATTACCACTGAAATCTTGCAACAAAATGCTGTAGCATCATCTCCCACCATGTCTAACCTATAAAGGACAGCTCTTCAAGAATGCTGAGACTCTCCTTACTAATGCATTCTTAATACCTTGGTGAAAGGATTGTCCTCAGGGCCCTCCAGAAAGATTTGTTTTGAGGTGACTGAGCCAGCTACAAATAATAGACATACTCCAACATTCTCATCTCATTGAGCCTTTGGACTCCCTCTGCAGTATCCCAGGGAAATTCCAGGCATCACAGCCTCATTGATGGCAGGCCACTTATTGACTTTATATTTCAATTAACTTAGCAGACTATTAATGCTACTCTCAGGTGCCTGAGCCATCATATTAAATACAGAATCCTGTGTGAGTGCACACACATCAGTAAATTACTATTTTATATTTTCTCTTTGTTGGTCTAAATCTCTTGGACTCTATTCCTATCCATGCTCGCCAAACTTCTGC